GAAACATGTTGTGTAAATGTTCCGAAATGTAAATCGATCAATCGATATGGAACATGAATGATATTTTATTATCTTAATTATAAGAAATTTTTAAATAAAAATTATATTGTGATCAGACGGATTAAAATAATTGTTACTATAAGTAACATTGTTCGCTGAACAATTAGGTATTATACACTAAACTTTTAAAAATGAACCAGATATGCTAGAAATATTACACCGAAGGCGTAGAAAGCTGGCAGGATGTTTGAAATGTAATTTTAAAATGTGTTGAGTGAAACAAAATTAATTTTGTCGAAATGCGAAATACACAGGAAGTGACGGCTGAACACGCAGTTCTACGAATACGCTGATTAGCGTCTCAAGTCAATTCCTCTGATTGAGTAAGCGAAACAGACGTTCTTGGTCAAGTTTAGTATACAACAGGGTTGACCAAAAACGTACGTGGCCCCCATTCAATTATATTAAGAAAATCCGCCTCAAATTTGGAATCAAGTTTTTAATCTATAAAATAAATTACAACTAACGCATCTGAATATGATCTTATATAATATACAGGGTGGGTGGAAAGTAAGTACGCATGAAATAATCGATATACATTGGAAATATAGAGGTTATAACCATTTCTCAATGCCTACTTATTTACCAACCACTCTGTATAGTCAAACCCCGTTACAGCACCACTCGGCATACAGCAATCCCTTGCACTGCATCTATAAAATCCTTGGAAAAGAAATAACTTATGTCATTTCAAACGGAATCCCCCGATAAAACGCCACTCTCTGCCATTAGCCAACATCTGTGGTATTACAGATGTAATATTAACCATTATATCCAAGTCCGATATAGAACCGTAACATTTTATTTCCATCAGCTTTGCTAACAACAAAATTAAAGAGCTATGAAGCTTATACGGTAGTGTTTCTAGACTAGAATAACATTAGTTTTATGGACTAAAACCCAATACGACGATTACAGAGCCATGTTATATGACGCGGTGCGCGCCGTGTCTTAAAGTGTACGGTGGGCCAACTAGGGATACCAATGCTGTGTCTTAAGAGACACGCTCGGCCTTTGAAGGTTAAGAAATGAAGTTACTCACTTAAAAGAACAAAACACTTAGCAACCTGAAGATATCTGTCTTCTGGGTTGTTGCGCTGTGTAGTCTGGTAGAAGTTTACCGACGTTACAGAGGTACATGCTGCCTCCATCATCAGGGCGATCCAACCTAGAAGACAACCATATTACTCACGGCCGTGAGAACCGTTCGTTTGGAAATGAAACCATTTCGTAGAGTGACAAGTAATTTGCCAGGAAGTCCGGTAGAACAATTGCAGATCCATCCTATTCTTGAATATTTTGTAATCTTCCATAATGAAGGTGGGATATCTCTTTCCTGAATTTCTTTGGCGATGGTAATATTTTTATTACATTCTGTTTTGAAATTTAACCACAACCTTTTTAAAACCATCCTTAAAAATATTAAAGCCGGCCGCAGTGGCCACGCGGTCTGAGGCATGGACCTCGTGCGCCTGGGTTCGAGTCCCACTCAAGGCATGGATGTTTGTCAGCGTCTTTCTGTGTTTGTACAGGTAGAGGCCTTGCGATGGGCTTATCACTCATACAAGGAGTCCTACCAATGTCCAAATATATCAAATGAATAAATAAAAGCCTCGACACTTGCGG